ATTCGTAACCACTACGCTACCAGAGTTCCTTTAGGATAGGTATTTCCATGATCTTCTTCAGAAAACTTGTAAGATATAAGTTGCATCTACTTTATATCAAAGTTCAGGTCATGAAAAGGCCCACTTGGTGATTGGGTCTGAGAGAGGTGCGTGTGTAGGTACTAATACAGTAGCCATTTCCTACTTCAAGTTTTGTTTGCATACCTATTGTAGACTAGGTCCTCTGAAGTAAACAGGACGGGCTTTAAGATTAGAAACGTGGTAAATCTGTAGGGACAGTTTCAGAACCCAGAATGATCTTAGACTTTTTTTTAAAAAAGGTTACATTTAATAACTTTTTCTTAGATTCAAAGCCAAAGAATATTAAGAAATGGCTATTGCTGCAGATAAATCGCCAGATGGTAGAGAAGGAAGAATTATTAGCTTTGTGTTTGTTATGTGCCTGTTAAGAGAAATGACCTTTAGATTCAGAAGTAAATGCGTTGTTATGAGTGCACAAACTCTGCCTTATATGGGAGAAGTAATTGTAGAAAGCACCTTCAGTTTCTAGTTGAATCCATAGACCAAACAAATGACAGTCTCATTGAGATTGCTGGCCCTCTGTAATTTAATGTATTAGATAGGAGGAGAGTTTGTAGAATGCTGGGGACAGCCCTAATGAAATTCTCATTTTTCAAAACGGGGACAAAGCTCCAGACCTCTGAGCTTATTAGTCTGTATGCCAGGAGAGATTCTAGAACCTGTAGTTATAAGAAGAGCCTAAGAACAACATGAATATTCACCGTTACTTTAGGTTTTGTAGGAAGGGAAATAGAGTAGACCATGTTCGCAGAGCTTCCTCATGATTGTATGATGAAACATTGGACTTGAGGCACTTAGTAGTGATTGAGGTTAATTAGGTTTGGCAGTGTGTGCACAAAAGGGTGTGTGCCCTTCTCAATTTTTTTATATTTGAAGATGTTGGGTGCATGCCCTTAGCATTTTGTGGATGATAGGAAACTGGGAGGGATACTAAGCACATTTGATGAGAAGAAACAGAATTTTAAAGGATCTTGAGAGGTTGAAATGAACTGAATTGTAATAAAACACTTAACAGTGATATGCAGTATTCAAGGAAAGCACATGAAAACTAGGTAGGTTTCTATAAACTAGCAATGAGCAATCTGAAAAGATAATTAAGAAAGCATTCCATTGACAAGAGCATCTAAGAGAATAAAATATTTAAGAGTATATTTAACCAGAGAGGTGAAGGCTTAACACTCTGAAAACTATAAAACACTGAAAGAAATTGAAGAATAAATAAATGGAAGGGCATTCATCTTCTATGGATTCAGTGTAATCCTTATCAAAATGTTAATGGTAAAGCCAATCAAATTTATTTGGAATTGCAATGAGCCTCATACAGCCAAAGCAGTCTTGATAAAGTAAGAGGAGTCATACTTCTGGATTTCAAAACAGTACGGGTACTGATAAAATAATATCATAGGTCAATGGGATAGAATTGAGAGATGCAATAATGACACATAGGTCAATGGAATAGAATTGAGAGACCAAAAATAAGCTTATACATCTATGACCAACTGAGTTTTGACAGGGGTGCTAAATTCATATGAGGAGAAAGGTGGTCTCTTTACTAAATGGTACTGAGACAAATGCATCTCCGTATGCAAGAGAATGAAGCTAGACCCATACCTCACACCGTAGATGAAAGAAAATGAATTCAAAATATATCAAAGATGTAAATGTAAAACCTAGACTATAAGTCTCTTATAACAAAGCAAAGGAGTAATAATACTTTGGGACCTAGTTTTGGATAAGGTATTCTTGGATGTGACACTAAAATCATGAGCAACAAAAGACAAAATAAATAAATTTTAAATGTGGTTCAACAAAATGAAGAGGCAACCTACAAAATGTGACAAAATATTTGAGAACTATACACTTGGTAAGAGTTTAATATCCAGAAAATATAAGTAACGTTGAAAACCCCTCACCCTCCATAAAAACGAACCCAGTTGGACTTTTTATTATTATTAGTTTGTCTTAATATATTGTGGTCATTTTTTTCTTGTTTAAAAAAGAAGAAGAAGAAAAAGAAAGAAATCACTCCTTTCCATATCTCCACTTCCCTTTACAGCCAGACTTTTGGAAAGTGTCTGGAGGTGGGTGGGTAGATAGGATTGGTGGTAGGAGCTTGATGCACAATTAATATGTTGTTATTAAGTGCTGATTCATAGCGATTCTGTATAGCGTTTCTGAGCAGTGACTGGTGACTTTGAACCACCAACCTTGCAATTCAAACCGACCTTGTGGTCCAGTGCTTATCCTACAGCACCACACCAGGACACAATTGATATATTAACCTTGAAATTATAGGTTAAATAATTATTATTTTCACTTAAAAATTTCTTTTGGAATCTAATATAAACTTCATACATTAGAAGAAATAAAAGCAAGGAAAACAAGCCACCTTAATAAAACAATCAGAAAACATGTAAGACAGAATACAACAGCTCTAGAACTCCTCTTCACCACCCTTAGTAAATGAGCGAGGTACATATTGGTAAGAGAGACATCTCAAAGTAATAAACGAATAAGAACACAAGGGTGGGCAAAGATACCTTACCCAAGTACAACAGAAAGGAAGCACCAGTCTTAAGTCATACAGCAAACTTGAAAAACAAAATAAAACCTAGGACAAAGAACATTATCTTTTATCAGGAGAATTGTTTTATAATGAATTTGATCTGTATATTGAATCTTATATAAACAGAAGATGATAATTACTCTTCACCCTGAGAAGCTATAAAATAAAACCACGTAGGGACTGTTGGAGAACTCATCTCATTTGGAATACCAAAACTCTATTCTAAAATATGGATTAAAGAAGGAGCACTGAGGAACATGTAGGAGAGTAGCTGGTAGAGTTTTCCCAGAGGAGATCAAGCCAGATTGAGCCTGAGAGGACATGCAGGAGATTGCTGAGTAGATGGGAGTCTAGGATGAACATGTCATGGGAAAGGAGATGGCATAACCTGGGAAGGTGAATAAAGGAGGAGGACATCAACTATGTACTATGAATGTTGCCTTTAGCAGTCTCAGAAGGAAAGATAAAACAGTATTTAAAAATTATAAAGAAGTAGATTAGACTTAGGGGTCAAGCAGTAGCATGCTGTTTGTATGACAGTTTATATATGGAATATCTAAATGAATTTGTTTCGATTGTATATTAAAGAGTATGGCAATTGCTCTTAAATTATGTGGCCTGAATTAACATGAAAGGATTCTGGTGGCACAGGGGGTTAAGTTGTTGGGCTATTAGCCAAAACAGTTTGAACCCACTCTGCTTTATAGGAGAAAGATGGGCAGTCTGCTTCCATAAATACTGGGCTACTTAAACCCCGTAGAGCAGTGCTGCTTTGTCCTGTAGGGTCACTATGAGTCCGAATCGACTTGATGGCTTTGGGTGTGGTTTTGGATTTTGAACTCCCATGAGCTTCTCACTGGGTGTCTGACAGCTTTGGCAGTGATAAAATGGAGCTACCTACTTGGGTCAGGCTTCTTTTGAAGCAATGACAAGCTTGTTTAGTGGTGTTTAGAACACAAGCATTAGAAGCACTGGGCTTTTTTTCATTCCAGTGCCCTTGTCCTGCAGTAGCTTTGTGGCTACAGAAGATTGTCCAGGTCCCTAAAGAACATCTTTTCATCTATAAAATTGGGTTCATAGTGTAGATAAGTGAATGACAAGTGTATGCCTTGCAAGGTGCTCTTTTCTAAGGGCTAGATGTCAAGTTTGAATTTCATCTTTCATAAAAGCTTATTAATCATTGTTTAAAACCTTGTTAGCTTTTGTTGTTATACATCCTTTGTAGTTTTTAATGTATATATAACACTTTGACTTTAGACAGTGGTTCAGCTTCATTTGGGTGCTTATCCTTATTCAACCTTCCTCTCCACTCAATGTTTGATACATTTTTTTGCCCCTCCTTTAAGGAAAATGAACAGTTACGTGATAGTTTACATGGGAGAACATTAACTTTACATTCATCAGTTAGAGGTATTCTTGAGAAGCCAATATGAAGGGCAGTGACACACACCTGGCTGTGTGTAGAATCAGCTGGGAAGATTTTATAGAAATATCCATCCCTGGTAGCATAGTGGGTTATGAGGCTGCAAACTGCAAGGTCAGCAGTTTAAATCTACCAGCTGCTCTAAGGAAGAATGATGAGGCTTTGTACTCCCATAAAGATTTACAGCCTCAGAAACCCTATACAGGGTTGCTGTGATTCAGAACCTACTCCACAGCACACCACCACCACTTGCACCATCTCCTCACCTCCCAGAGGATGATTTCTTAAGCTAGGGTGGGGCCCAAGAAAATGTACTTTGTAAAACTTCTCAGTTGAATTTGATATGTAGGAGGGTCTGAGAATCCAGCTGACTAAGAATATAAAGTCTTGAGTTATTTTTATTTATCTCCACAGGATCTGACAGAGTAATAGGAGTTAATGACTGAACTTTATTAGGTTTAGGGCTATTAGAGTAAGATTGAAGTCCTGGCGTAACATAGTAGGATACATACTGGTACAAAAGGTTGGTTTGAACCACAAGGTCTGCAGTTCAAACTCACCAGCCGCTCCTCAGAAACCCATACCCTGGGTTGCTTAGAGTCAGAACCCACTTAACAACAACAGCAATAATAGTAGGTTTGGAGAGGAGTAAGCTTGGCTTGAGACCAATAGAGTTACTAATATTTTTATAGGCTATTACTGTAACTTCTTATTACATTGAATATGTCAAAACCAGGCAAATGGTCACTTTCTTGCTTTGTTTTGTTTTACAGATCGTGAGGACCAGTCAATTCTTTGCACGTAAGTAATGTTGAAGGTCCAGAATTGGTTTTGATTCTGTTAGAACGTAGAGCAAATTATTTTCTGTGGGGGTGGGAGACGAGTAGACCATCATTTTTAAGAGTTTGATATAAACCTTGTAGTTGTTATTTTAAGACTAATGTTATCTTAATTGCTAAAATACAGTGTTAACTCAGGTTCTTAAGCTGAACTGTGTACATATTTTGTAACGTTGTGAATTTGGAAAACTTAACATCTTTAGTTTGTATTTCCAAATGTTGGCCCTGCTGGACACTTAATAATGTATTCAGTTTACTCAGTAAGCGTGTATTGATTATTGATATCAGTCTTGTGGCTGATAAACTGTGTGCTAATGCTAGAGATTGATCATTGAATAAAATGATAGCCATGACAGCATATGATTTAGATGTGCCCATTAGAAAAATGGTTTTGACTGCAGTGTGAAAAATGGGTTGGAGGAAGAGTCGTAGCAGAAAAAGCAGTTAAGAGGCTGTTGAGTAATCAAGGCAAGAGATGGCGTAGCATAGTGCCCGTGAGCCTAGGGAGAAGTGAATGAGAGTAAGTGCTATTTAACTAAAGAGACAGACATAGCGGCACTTGGTAATTTATGGACCAAGGAAGAAGAGCTGAGAGAGAAGGACTGAGTTGAGGATGATATATACTAAATGACCAGGGTATCACCTGACATGGGGAGCATGGGAGGAAGAACAGGTTTGGAATGGAAGAGAGTAAGTGTGTTTCAGAACGTGTTGAGTTTGAGGTGCTCTTGGCTCATCTAAGTGGAGCTGTCCACTAACTGTTTGCTCTGTGGACTTGGAGCTTGGGAGAGAGAGATCTATGCTAGGGATGCAGAAGTGAGGGGTCAGTCGCCTGGTAGTAACGGAAGCAGGACTGGTGAATGGGATTGCCTTAGAAGAACCTGCTGAAAGAGAAGATGGACTATAAAATCCTGGGGAAAACCAACATTTAAAGGATAGTCAGAGCTAGAGCAGCTTGCAAACAAGGCTAAGAGGGCCCACCCAAGAGTGTTGACACAGCAACCATAGGGAAAGAGGCATTTCAGGAAAGGGAACAGTCATCATATCAAAGGCTACTTCGAGAAACTGACATATGGAAACATGTCCATTGGATTTAGCAGTAAAGAGAAGGTGGTAGGAGTTGGTGATTGCCATCAGTTATGGAATGATGATAAGATGAAAAAGTACAGAAAATATGTTTAGGACTACTTTCAAACAGTTTGTTGTTAGGTGCCATTGAGTTGGTTTTGACTCATAGCAACCCTATGCACAACAGAATGAAGCAGTGCCCGGTCCTGTGCCAACCTCACAATTGTTGCTGTGTTTGAGCCCATTGCTGCTGTTATGTCACTGTGCCAATCCATCTCTTTGAGGATCTTCCTCTTTGTCACTGACCCTCAACTTGTCCTTCTCCAGGGACTGGTCCCTCTTGAAAATATGTCTAAAGTACAAGAGATGAAGTCTGGCCATCCTGGCTCCCAAGGAGCCCTCTAGCTGTACTTCTTCCGACTCATATTGGTTCATTCTTTTGGCAGTCCATGGTACTCCCCACTCCTCTGGGTTTTTTTGTTTGTTTGTTTTGGGTGGGGGGTGTGTGTGCACAAAAACACTCAGGAATATGTAATCATTTAAACAACCAAAGGACACATTCTGCAAAACTGCCTCCTGGCCACCAGCACCTGGCTGCCAGCACACAGCCTTTCTCTTTCCATAAGTCTAGAGTCCTCAGCTGCTCGCTCTCTCCATGTCCTCATCTCTAATGTCACTGCTTCTCTGGATAGGGTACCACATTCTGTTTGTGCTCTTCTCTCCCTTGATGGTCCTAGGGTTCTCTGTTTCTGGACTTTGAGATTAACTATTCCCCTCTTTTTGTTACAAAACTTCTACCTTTTCAGTTGTGACAGTCGCAATTAGTTATGAGAACAATTACTCACTATTGAATCATAAGAATCTTATCCCCATCTCCTTTCACCAGACCCATCTAGACAAGATGAAAACTATTCAGTGGGAATTCTACCTTACCCCACACACTCTGAAACTAAACTCCTTCTTGAAAACTTGTAAGCCAGTCACTTTGTGCCTTTATAACTCCTCACATTTTAGGTAGCCAATGTCTAAAGTACCTGTCCCTATCTATCCTGTACACAGAGGGGATAGCATTTCATTGATCCTTGATGTGGAAACTCCTTCCCCTCTCAGTTGGTATTTTGAGATATTACATCAATAAGTATAGATCAAGTTCATGAATTTGTAGCAATTTACACTTGTTTCCTTTATTAAAAAAAAAAAAAATTTTTTTTTTTTTTTAAATCATCCTCTAGTTGCGTTCTGATCATCAAGAAATCGAAACTAGGTCAGATGGGTACTGTGTAAAAGTTTAGGTGTTCTTATGCATCTCCTTTCACTTCACATCAGCTAGGCACTTCTCTCTCAGCTCCAGCCCTCTGTGGCTTGGACCAAGCAGCCCTTCTCTTCTCTCTCTCATCTCCAGGTCGATGGGAGTCTATGGAACATGGTTGAACTCAGCCCATTTCTTCATTGCTTCCTTTCCCTGCGTTCCACTCAGCAGGCAGCCAACATGGTCGCCAGCAAGCTTATATGCCTGCTCTTGTGTTCTCTTTGAGTGTTAGTCTTGGAGGGGGGTTTGTCCTGAAGGGACTTGATTATTTGCATGGTACTTTTAATATTCACCTCCAACACCATAACTCAAATGAATCAATTCTTCTCTGGTCTGCTTTGTCTTTTTTCACACGCGTATGATGTTATTGAAAATAGCATGACTTGGGTCAGGTGCATCTTAATCTTCAAACTGGTATCTTTGCTCTTGAACACTTTAAAGAGGATTTTTTAAAATTCCTTTACATTGAGGTACAACACATCCCAAAGTTCAAATTGTATAAAAAAGTGAAAAAGTTGGCTAGTGGAAAGAGATTAGCAGAGACTTTGTTGTTATTGGTACTGTTAACATTGTTGTTAAGTGCCACTGAGTCAGCTCTGACCCCTAGCAACCCTATATAGGGTTTCCAAGGAGTAACTGGTGAACTTGAACCGCCGACTTTGTGGTTCAACTTGACTTTGCAGTCCAGCTCATTAACCCACAGTGTCACACCAGGACTCCACTGCTGAGAAGAGGGAGGCAGTATTCTGGTAGTTGCTGAAGATGGGGACAGGACAGAACAGAATGAAAACTGAGGAGGCAAGAGATGAGATGAGATCCAGTGTACAGGGGTCTGTCATGTGGGGAAACTGTCACTGTTTTGCAGTGATGAGGTCATGGTGATAGATAGATAGATACTGATGGGGACAAGTTGGGGAAAGGAGGGTCGAAATTGTAACAACAACAAAAACCTTATCTAGTGGTTTCTAGTTTCTCAAGGAAGTAGAAAATGTGATTATTACTAATAAGGAGGAATAGTTGTAGGGAGGAGATTTGACTTGACAACACTTAACAACAGCAGAAAAAAGGAACACTAATGTGATGTGCTGCTGTGGCGCTGTGGGTTAATGCGCCAGACTGCAAAACCGTTTCAACTGCAAGGTTGGCAATTCAAGCTCACCAGTCTCTCCTCGGAAACCCTGTATGGGTCGCTATGGGTCGGAAACAACTCGATGGTACTGAACAACAACAACAATGTGATGTGCTTTACTGTATGCGTTTTATTCTAGCATTGTTTAGCTTACTGGGTTATGTGAATCAGCTTTTCCTACATAGCAAACCACACTGAAACGTAGCAACTGGAAACAGCATAGTTTTGCAGCCTTCCCAGCAGTAGAATTAGGCCTGGCTGGTGGCTCTGTGATCTGGGTCAGGCCCAGCTGATCTCACCTGAGACCCCCTCTTATACCTGCAGTCAGTTGCCGGTGCTGACTGCCTTATTGGTGGGGGGGACCTTGATTCTTCTCCCCATTCTCTCATTCTCCAGCAGGCTAGCCTTGGCTTGTTAATCCTGTGGCAGGGTTCCAAGAAGAGCAAGAGGGCAAATGTTCATACGTTAGTCCTATTCCAGTTTCTCCTATTGGGGATGTTTGCTGCTAACTCATTCCCCAAATCAAGTCACATGGCCAAGGCCAGCGTCAGCATGGGCAACACTGTTCAAGTGGGTAGACACAGCGAGGCATGGAACATTTGGGGCCATTACTGCCACCATTCCACCCGAAAGGGGTTGGAATGCAGAAGGTGAAGCAATCACAGTGTTTTGCAATTAGATGTTCTGGAGAACATGAAGCAATAGGATTCTTAGAGACCACTGTGAATAGGATATTTAATAACAGCGTTTTGTAGTCATTTCTATTATAAGCTACATTGTGACTTCAGAAATACTAAAATGTGCAACCGTGTGTCCTAGATTTAAGAAAATTGGTATGTTCCGTGGTGCCTTTGAGGATCTAGAAAATAAATGACTATGAGTATGTAACTGGGTCTTACTACATTTAGTACAGTTGATCTAATTAAGTTTTCTCTAGAATAACTCTTTAGTCAGTTTTATGTAGCAGTTACTTGGTGGTGCTATGGGGTAAGCACTGGACTGATAAAACCCCAAGGTCAGTAGTTCAAACCCACCTGTGGCTCTGCAGGAGTTAGATAAGGCATTCTGCTTTCTTAAAGATTGATAGCTTAGGAAACCTGTTACAGGATTACTAGAAGTCTGAATCAGCTTGATGGCAGTCAGTTTAGTTTTAGGGCAGTTATTTTCCTTGAAGTACCTATGTTTATGTAACGTCACAGAGAGGAAATTAGTTTGAAGCAACATTTTTTTTTTAGATCAGTACTTAAGTAGTTTAATAGCGCTTCTTCAAGCTTTATTTTTTTGATAGTGGTGATGGTTTTGTGCTGCGGAGTCATTCCAACCCCTTTCGGGTGGAATGGTGGCAGTAATGGCCCCAAATGTGACCCTGACTCACAGTGACCCTGTATAGGGTTTCCCAGACTGTAAATCTTTACAGGGCCAGAAAACTTCTTCTGTCTCCCTCAGAGTGACTGGT